CGGCTCGACAATTCATAATAGAAAAATATAATTTCTTTAATTTTACTTTTTTTCATCTGAAATTTTTTTTAACATGTTGGTGAGATATTTCTAATGAAAATGATATCAAACACGATATAATTTGAACAACATTTACTTCTTAACACGTTCACTGTCTGGCGTGACAGATTATGTCGTGTTTGATGTCATTTTCATCAGAAAAATCTCATCAATATGTTAAGAAAAATTTCGAGATAAAGAACCGTAAAATTAAAAAAGTTGGTATTTAAATCGCTTGGTTGCCTCGACTCACGTTTCATCCGTATCTTTTATTCGCTGTCCTTGTCTACGTTCGGCAAACTACAAAGGCGGTCGCGAGGCTCGAAAACGTAGTCCCTGACTCTACAAGTGTCAGGTTTAGATTCCTTGCGGACTGACACTTGTGGAGAATTTACTGTATTCCTTACACGACTGAGTATCTGCATTTTTTAAACAATGGCCAGCTGTTTTGTAGAACACAGTTATTTATTTATTTTCACGGGTATGGATTTATTTGTATACAAAATAAGATAGACAGAGAGCAGGCAAAATATTGACAGTTACAAACAAAAAGGAAACAAAAAAAGAATGGATTTGGATCAGTTGGATCAGTAAGTCACTTCGTTTCGATAGATTTGAGTAATACAAAATTTGGTTAAAAAATGTTTAAAAAGATCCTGACTTTTTTTTATAAATTCTTATATCTACAACTTTTATTTGGTAGTGTACATACGACCTATATTTCTGTAACATTTTTTTTTTACTTATAGTCATACATAGAATATACTGGCGAAGTTTCACAGAAGAAAACTGGACGTTAGTCGAAGCTGCATTTACTATTTTTACAAGGCCTAATTCGCGGAACGGTAAGGATAATCGCAGGTATGAGCGAACCTGCTCGACATCCTCTGCACGACCCGCAACTTTAACCCTTTCACTACTAACGATGATTATATGAGTGACAAGAGGAAAAGTCGTACTGCTGATCACGTTCTGCACTGTTTCGAGTCGCGAAACGGTTACGACGCACAGTGGGGTGAGCAAGTAGAATGGTTGAACATTCGCATCAGGGTATTCGCTTTAACTGGTGTAAGGGGTTTCAGTTTAAATAGTGCTTCGTAAGATAATTTAAAAAAAACTATATTTATTCGGTCGTTGACTACGCGGCTCAATTTACTCTCCTGCAATCCTTACAATTCTTATAGTTCTTATGTTTCTGCCCACAGTGCTCCTAACGCGACCTTATATGCCGGCTTTGACGCCCCTCTCTTGCCTTTGGGAAACCCTGGCGCAAGTTGGGGGTTTCTACCCAGCAAGGACCGCGTCGCGCGAGCACGTGGCTGGGTCCTTACCTGACCCAGCCCTTAGTGCGTGGAGGAGTCAGGCGTTGGGACCGGGTTCCTCCGCAGACCGAGAGGTCTGCGGGTCATAAACCGGCCCGAGTCCCTACCTTCACTCAACCATATTCTTACACTGGAAACAGTGGAATATCTCACGAGAAACTGAAATTATGAAAAAAATGTTCTGATAAATGTTGTTCAGTATATTGAGGGACATTAGGTGGTCCAAATAATTTTTCTGTAGATCTAGTAGTGGGGGAGATATTGAAGTCAGGTTAATTTTTTTAAATGTTATCCCGTATTCTTTTTATCCATACTGTGGTAGCATTTGTTGAGACCAATTCAACGATGTGCCACACAAAGTCATTTCGTTTTATGAAAAATCGTAAATTAGCGAAGATTCTCCACAATTTTATAACTTTTCGATATACGTTGTGCTATTCATTCGGGGGAAAAAATCCGAGATGATCTTAATATCTATATAAAAGTGGTTATCTTGTGAACTAGAATGAAGCAAAAAAAAAGTTTTTAACAAAATGGCAGTCGCATAGAACGGAAATTCATTAAATTTGTAACTTCTTCAGGCAATAAAAAAAAAATGTTGTCGATAGTGACATAATTTTTGTTCACAATATAAACAGATGTCTGTTTTATATGTGTGTAAAATTTAAAGAAGATTGATCAATTCATTATAGATATCTGAACTTCAAACACTAGATGCGAGGCTCTAATGGGTGCAGTATTGAGAATTAAATTAATATTTCTGTAAAAAACAAAAAAT